AGGATGGATGGGTTAATTTTTATCTAAAAAAATATACGCGGTCGCGTATAACGAAAGAATTATAATAATATATCTTAGAATAATTTACACACCACCATCTACTCCCGAAATAAGCAGAGCTTGTGATAGGGGTACTAGGCAACTGATAAAAATACATTTTTTGTAAATTCGTGCATAATACATTAAAAACAGCCAAACCAATACAAACAATCATGAATACAAATATTTGATCGTGCTAGGAATCGAACCTGCGACATTAAAAGTGTGATAAACCTCTAGACCATCGAGGCTATTAGGGAGGAGATACACATTCAATCACTTCACGAAAACTATTCCAAAACACACACTATGTTTCGAGCATGTAAAGGAAATGAGCAGTTTCCTGGAAAGAAAATGGTGCAATGAAAATCGTAGCCAAGAAATTGTGAATTCGTTCTCAATACAGAATTTAAAATTGGTAGATTCTTCAAAGATGCGATCTAAGCACACTGCTTGTGGGGATCTGTGACTGATCAAATGTGTAGATGCTCTTACTAACCTCTACATAGCCCAGACAAAGGACAAACGGCCAATCGCTCTTGGATATCAGTTGGTGCAAACGTCAAAAGATTAGATATTTATGTAACTGGATTGGCAAACATTCTGGCAGCCCATCTGATGGTAAGTGGTAACCGTCTCCTCAAGTCATGCGTTGACAAAATAAACAAAAAAAAAGAAGTAGCACAAAATAATTTAAATATGATTTTGTCAAAAAATAAATATTATTCCAAGTTTTCTTATCCTTTTCTTCTATATATCATCATTTTAAGGGACGGGGGCAGAACCATGGAAGTCGCAATGTATTTTGTAATGACTATTTACTATATGTTCATTAACGATAATTCTCATATTTGATCCAACTGTCAGATTGTTTGTCATTCCAGTTAGATATTATTAATTTAGTTAATGGGGTCTAATACAAATAATTGTATGGTAAATAGAGGTTTTTATATCTCTCAACGTTTCGACTAAGTTGCTATGATTGTCCAATGAAAGATCGGATTCACGCAGATGATAATTTTAAGCCATGTTACCGATTGAAATTGCGAATATGATTTTCTATTGATTATTTTATTATCCGAAGAATTTGCAAGTTCATCACCACACATATATATATATATATGGACAGCACCGCGGATATATACTCATCATGTACCACATAGTACCTATAATTCCTCGCACGGTACAAACATTTGTGTCCATGAGTATAATTGTTTGTATAGATCTGAGTGTTATCTAAGTGTATTAGGTATGTATTAATTTTAAAAAAATCTGTGTAGTTATATAAATTGCCAAATACCCATAACACAAGCTCTGCTTAGCTTTGGATTAGATGGTACTGTGTAAATGTCCTGAGATATTAATATTATTTTATACTACCTTCCTAGTTTATTTTGATTTAAGTCATTAACCTTTTTGTTACAGTCTATATTTAGAACAGCATATACCACTATACCACATAATATAATAAAGTGGAGAAGACAGTTCAGTGATCCCCATTTCAAAGGATGAAACCTATGTAATAAATCCCTACTGATTGTACATATCTATATTTCCTGGAATGGCAGAAACACAAGGTCATTTACCTTTCTTCTCAATGTGAACATCAAAGAAATATCTCTATATATTCAAATTCAAAATATTATTTACTTGAATAGGCATGTCTGTAATTTCACGACTTCACCGTTGAATAGGGAATTATTTCTCTCGTTAAATGGCATTAAAAACTCACTTCTTTATAAAAATCTAAAGTCATCTCAAAACATATTTTAACTGTTAGGCTGCTGATATATATCGAGCTCGTCCGCGTGATAGTAGTTGTAGTAGTAAACTTGACCAAAATAAGAAAAATCGTTCATCATTCTAGCTTTATAAATGTCTATACTTCCATACGAAATTTCATCTTCCCTTTCAATCCCTTAGAAGCCATGTTTCGCCTTAAAAAGTAGCCTATGTCCTTTTTCAGAGTCTAGACTATCTGTGTACCAAATTTCATTTAAATCGGTTCAGTAGTTTTTGCGTAAAAGCGAGACAGACAAACAGACAGAGTTACTATCGCATTATAATATTAGTAAGGATGTGGATATACAGCCAGTTCGCTCGTCAGGTTCAGAGTTTATAGAAACATTAGTCTCATTCATTTTTTATTTCCTTTAGTCTCATGTCTGGCGGCCCCACTGGAAATCAGCGCTGTGGTATAACTTAGTTATACTGCTACATATATGCTGAATGGGAGTCACAATCAATGTTTCCAGTAGGATTTAACTTTGAAAATAAATATATAGCACAAAAAATATTGTACACCCTACTGATAATAATGTTATGTGGAATAACTGTGTTCTATTATTATATATTTATTACATATTATTATTATTATGAGTATAATAATAAAAGTCAGCACCTGTTAACCTGAATACTAAACGAATGTACATCATTGAATAAATAACATTAAATTCTTTAGCCTCCATAGATTATGTGATGCTGCGGGAATTGTCCATAATTCTTTATTGTTATATATTTTTATTAAAATTTATTTAACTAATTGAGTGTGCAATGATTGGATCAGTAAAATAAATTTAAACAATTATTTATCTATTTATAATAAAATAAAATAAAACAATCACCACCACTATTATTATCATTACTAACAAAATAAACTACAGGTCAAAGATAGTAAAAGTCCATATTAAACGGTAAATGGACTGGATCAATGGGTGAACTGAACCTTATTGCATTTTGTGCCGACCGATCCCGCGAATATCGGTTCTATTTGATTCCAACATAGAATAAATATGGCACGGAATAGCTCTGTGAGCGTAGTTCAGATAGATAAGCTTAATTGAGATCAAGAAATTAGTCTGTCGTTCATCTGTCCTCGTATAACAGAGATCGAAATTATGATGGTCTGAACCGAACTTCGAACCTTATCAGTGCACTTTAGTACTCTTGCAGAAGTTCGCCAACTACGACCAGTAGCATTTGAATAGATAGAAAAAAAAAACAAAAACGACTGACGTTAAGTGAGAAAAAGAGAGAACATTTCCTGAAATCTCGTAACAGTTGATGTAACGGAACATACATATATTGATTAGTATTAATTTCTGCTCGACTACTAAAACACGTAAGACAGAAGTTCAACCCAGACAAATTCATATAAAATCTATCAGGTATATGGTAAGGTTTTTATAAATAAATAATGCTCACATTGGCAACCCTGATTTTATAGCCGTGGCTGTTTTCAAATGACGATATTATAAAAAAGAATTCTTTTTTATGAATTTCATAAATATTTAATTTCTTATGTCTCTTCTGATTTGATATATATCTCAGGTTTTCTGGTATGCTGGTATCCCAATAGCTGTACCTGTAACGAATATATGTACTGCAATTGGATATGTTTCGAATCTTTTTGGACGACTATTACCACTAAATGGTAGGGCATGGTTAACGTAAACCAAACTGAACTTAATTATCAATGTGAAAGTGACATTTGTTCTAAATAGTTGATTCCTTTTATTGGACTGGTAAACAAATTGATACTTCTCAATACTACAATGTCATGTCTACAATGCCAACCAAAACACTAAATTAGAAATAACTGACTCAAAGTGTTATGTCATTCACCCTCAAGGACGTCGACACTGAGCACTGAGCTACCATTTTGTATTGCTGTAGCACACACATGAAAATACACCCCTATTGGTTTAAATAATCTGTATTGTATACTATTTATAATTAAGCATATATGTGTGTACTAAGATTCAAATTTACCACGACGCGTTCTGCTCGGTGCAATAGCGAATGCAAAGAAAGATGTAGGGAGGACTTTGCTTCGCTTTAAGGGTTACGCCAAACGTGACATGGCCACATTTCAAATAGACCACCATGGCTGGGAAAAGCTCGCAACCAATAGATCAGATTGGCGCAAACGCGTAATGGAGGGCCGAAGGGTTTGCGATGATGCCTAGCTTCAAAGGCTTGCTGACAAGAGACGGAAGTGCCACCTAGGCGGCTCAATACAGTCTACTGCCAATAGTTTCCCTTGTCGGGCCTGTGGTAGGCCATGCCGTTATCGTATCGGTTTATACAGCCACGAAAAAAGCTGTTCACGGACCATTACGCTATAAATCGTCTATAATAGCCGCATAGGCCATTATTAAGATTCAAATAAAAATTATTATCTCAGGGCATAGCAAGATAGGATAAGAAAGGTAAGATATAAATTATGCTATAAAATAATTAATAAATATATCTTATTAATTATACATCATATCTTTATTACTATCTATATTAAGGTAGATTGTCCCTATATATAATTTATAATGTACATGAACGCAACTATTCAAGATCATAAATATTGTAGTTCCTACTTCAAAAAAAATTAAAACTACCTACATTATAATATGTTATTGTAGTGTCATATCTTGACAAAAATATAACTTCAACATATATTTCCTTTGGCTTTGTGTTTAGTGTAATGCAGTTCAACATTGACAATAATATAATAATACAATTTATGGATATTCAAGCAGAATCTGCAAATTACGTTATTATAGATACATACGTACGTATTTTAATTATCACTTTATTTTTAATTACGATTAACATGATTGAAACCTTATTTTTATACTTATAAATTTTCAGATTATGAACCTGTGATAATTTTTGTACAATGTATTTACAATTAATGGAAACAAGTTCAAAAATAAAGGATAAAGACAAATAAAATAAAATATATATGAATATCTATACAAATAAACTAAATCAAAATCTGTGAAGAAGGAAGCGTCAAAACAAAGAATTAAAAAGCAATTGGTTTTAATAATTTTATTTATACTAATCTCAAGAAATAATCCTAATTCTAATTCTAATCTATTTATTAATTTTATCATTTACATATTACATATATAAAATAAACTATGGCGACATACTATTCTCAAAACATTACCTATTCAGTTCATATGAATTCATGGAAGCCTTTGGTAACTGCAGCTGTTATTCCAACACCAATGTACAGTTTACCTTTATGTTCTGTACCTGTTATTGTAGATCTTCAGGTTATAAATACATCTGTGTATACTTACACTAATCCAGCTACAGGTTTATCACCATTACTAGCTGAAACATTATTTTCTAAAGCTCCAGTATCTAATTATGCTTACAATGAACCAATAATATATTCTGAAGATCAAGTATTGCTTACTAATTACATAAATAAGAGCAATACAGTAGTATATGAAAATAGTGATGCTGATGAATCTATGAATAATACAATTACAAGTAAAAATATATATATATTAGATCCTCTGGAGGCTTATTTGTCATTACCAAGAGAATTATTTCCACCTGCAAATATGATATTGATTGATCCCAATCCTGTTATTGATGAATTTTGTAAAGTTGATAATATTGTTAATCACGCACCCTGGTTATTAGATTTGGAATTTGGTATACCCAAAGCACCGATTACACGTCCATTGCCTGTTTATAATGTTAAATTTAGTAGCATTAACTGCAAAAATGCTCCTGATGCTATTCATCCAGGATTTGAAAGCTGTTCACCAGAGTTTAGAAAAGTATTATTGTTTTACTACGACTGTATTGTGTCCGTTTGGTATAGAGGTTACATCCAAATGAATTACGATAAATCTGTTGAAAATTTTCAATCGTGGTTACTACTGCCGATGCAATTACTTGGGATGTGCTGGCCATATATTTTGCATACGTAATTAAATTTTGTATATATATTATAATGAAAATTTGCATGATTAAATTAATGATATTAAATTAACTATTAAAAATCATGTTTTCTTTATCTTGCAGTAGACCTATTATAGTATTACTTAAAAAATCTACATAAATATTCAAATTTTTATTAAGGAACCTCTTCGAAATTTAATTTCCAAAACTAAAACTTTTTTATATATAAAATGCAAATTATAGTGGACCGATTTTAAAAACTATTTCACCTAAAGAAAGATACTTTACGCGATGATTGGGCTGACTACATCCTTATCCAATCATACACCACTGGTGGCCTTTGTGGCAACCGCTGATGCATCATCGCGTATTAAAAAAAACATAATTAGAACTTTCCATTTAAACATATCTCTCACAACTCCGCCTCTTTCAATGAAATTATATCAATCTAGCACAGTTAGTGGCAATTTCCCTAATTTTCCCAGACCTCACTACTGACCTGAATTCAGGGTCCCTAATGGCTTGGTCGGAATTTGTGGTTTGACCACCCAACGGGCCTTTAATTCATGTCTATGAACCTAATTCATTGACCGCAATTATTTGTGAGATAGCTGATGTTAAATGAGCCTCTAAATTACTGTAATCTAAAGGCTTACTGGTAATTTAAGAAAACACTGTATTTAGTTATATAACTAAAAATTATAAATATCTTTACCTACTTAGTACTTACCAGATTTAGTATTTAGCAGAGGTATTATTTTGTAAACAGTGTTTTCGTTTATAAAACCAGATTAGGCAGTGAAGTTAGAGAAGACCGAGACAACATTTTCGTCCTCTGTAATGACAAAATATGAGTGGTATCACGGGTGCCACATGATAACGTGATAACCGTAGTGTTATTCATGTAAATAAGTGCTGGTTAATATATACCAACAGATGGGCCCTTTACTTGAAATATATATTTCATTATGAGTGGATATAATCTAATTTTAAAAATTATTCTCATCTTAATTATACTGAATGTTTCATGTGCACCGTGCATCGTATATAGTATCGAGTATCAACACGATGTCTTTACCAGTTTTGGGCACAAAATCATACTTTTTACTTAATTAATCGAAACATTGTGTCTTGCATATTTTACCAAAAATGTATAATTCCTTAAATAAAATATCATAAAATATATTCAGATAACACGAGTCCGTAATTATATTAAATGTTGTAGAGATTTAGTAAGCAAAAAATAAGTTTAAGGAAGAAAATAAAAGACTTTATTAAAAACAAATCAGTTATTTCAATATTTAATCATTAACAAACTTACTGTGCAAACGAACAATATGAAATCAACATCATCATAAACTATCCATTCAAACAAAATCTATATAGAATATACAACAGTCAAACATCACCATTGTGAGCTTTATTTTTCATAATTATTTCACTAAATTCATGAATTAGATGATTTGGTAATTACTGTCACATATTGTCACAGCACCAGTCAATAATTTATACAATTTTACATTAACAACGAAGACGTTTAAAATATAAAAATTACAAAAATTCGGATTACAAAAGTTGCAAAAGAAGGAACTTACAATAATTACAAACATCTCAATTATTTACAATGCAAAACAACATGCGATTGAAACAGATACATAACATATTAATAATACTGTAAAATAAGATACAAAATCTTAATTAAATAAGGCAAGAAAATACGATATAGTATTTACAAAAACAAAAGGAAACATTAATCGCACTACTTAAATATTATCTTACGCAATAACAATTTAGTTTAACGATATTATTAGGGGCCCTATATTACAAATATTTCTTTTTATTTACATAAAATGTCTTGGACGTCGTTTAAAGCGATTAAGGCAATGTAAAATGCTGCATTAAATCATAACCTTGGTATTAAGCAGTCATTGTGAAGGCGTTTATTATTGTTCAAGCCGTGTAATTTACCGTTGTGAAGCTACGTTGGAAATAATACAGAAAATCGCGTAGTAGCGAGTTCTGTTTAGCTTACGGTTGGACAATTTCTTTAAAAACGCCTCAGAAAACGTTGAATTAAATCAACATTTTTGAAGGTAACTTGCACTTAAATTGAGTATTTACTGCAAACATACTCATGTAATGTAGATGTAATAATTATATTACATGAGTATATTTGCGTTGTAGTATTACATTTTAGAATGACTATCGACTAAAAGCATACGTCTGTAATATAAATAACCCAGAAATTAATATAACACTGAATAACTAGTAATTCAGATACACAGTCATATAATATAATAAATAATGTTATAATCTGAGTTCTAACATTAAAAACGAATGCTGTTAGTGAATACTGATTCTAAAATATTAATTACGAACGTAATATTAAATTAGTCGTATTTCTCTTGCGTAGTCGCACTTGATTATCACCCGTCGTCAGTTTAACACATTCGCTTCGTAAACAAACTCATAAATCATGATTATTACGATGTCCAGGTAATTATGAGTTCACTGTCTGTAATATCCAAGGCACAAACTTTGAGATCCTGGTGCAGACACCTGGTAAGTTCGCCTCGCCGCACCCAATTCCCCAACTGATGATGCCAGCGAGGAAATACCTCGAATCTTTTCCTTTTACCTGGAAACATACAGATTCTTTATAACCATATTTAAAACTATAATATTCATTAAAGTATTTTTTGAACGGTTTCTTGTGCAAGTAATGCTTATGGTATAAGTTTATTTTACCATATTTTTTTTATATGTAATTTGAATGCCAACCTATCTGACAGCTACTTGATAGTGAATATCGCCGTCACCTAAATACATAAGGAGCACTACATGACGTTGTCTTGTACTACTCGTGAGGACGCCATTCTAGAGCACTTGTTATAATTTCTACTAATCGTACCATACCACGAAAAGATACCTTAAGCAAGGTGCTTGGCGGCTGAAATTGGCAGATAGAGGTGCCCTGGACATCATAGATGACTATTTACAAAGTCTAAAGTCTCGGTAGATAAAGCTGTACTACTATTACAAAGGATAGGAATATAAAACGTACCTGCAAGGGACCTCCAGAATCTCCCTGACAGGAATCGTGTCCGCCCCGCTCGTGCCCCGCACACAAGAATATATCAGGGATGAACTCATGTCTGCCAGCTCGGAGAAACATCGATTTGCAGCGGTCGTTGGACACTATTGGGACTTGTACCTAAAAAAATATAATTAGTCATTTTAATAAAACGCGAACAAATCATTATATCAAAATGATTAGCAAAAACAATGAACCCTTTTTTAGAAAAATTGCGCGGAGGAGTATGAATTTTTACACACTTATAGATCATATAAAGAAGGTGTGTATAATACTAATATTATATAGTTTAAATTATAATAAAAATAAATTAAATCAATAAAACAACGTTACACACGCTATCATGTATTTGACACACACATACATGCATATATTTACATTTTTGTATATTGTTTGTCTATAATCCTACTGAATGTGACACATAACCATAATTTAATTATTGTCGAATTTCAACCATTGGCCGACCACGAGTATTAGTCAATTAGACAAAATTTAAGTACATCGCTGCCAAGTAATTTTTAAATATAAAAGAACCCACCCCTTTTAAAGTAGATGGCACGATTCTTTCATGATACGGGACCTAAACCTATTTGAACTTAGATAGTTATGAGCGGTTTGCTTCTAGCAACTTTTTTTCGTAATGGAAAAGAAGTTTTCAACGTTCGACTGTAGGAATTATAGGTATTACCATATTACGTGATAAACTTTATCGATTCTTGCTTCTTACTTTATAGTTCCTTACAAGAAATTTATATAATGACATACTATTTATTGAAATAAAGATTATAAAATGTAAATTGCCCAATTCTTCCCAACTGGTTGTATCTTTTAGAACTAAGTCGAAAGAATATTTGTTTATTTTACACTTCACCTAATATACGTTGTATTTTTTATTTTTATCGTTTACCCTTAGTATAATTGTAGGGGCAGTTATATATAAAAGTGTTAAGTTAAGTAACATCTAGATAAGATTATATTAGATTTCACTTTATATCTCTAGAACTGTAATTACCTCTTGTAAAATCGATGGCAATATACCGCCCTCAGACAACCTCCCCCACCCGGTTACCGTGGCATTCTCTCCAACCAGTAGATCATCAGACGCTGGCAGACATATTGGAGAGATGTGAGGGGCGAATTGTACAGGTGCTTCCAACTTGACCAGCGCTAGATCGTACTCGTAAGTGAAGAAATTGTACTTGGGGTGAACAGCTTTCCGAGCCACGCCGCGTTCCACAAACGGATACTGCTCAGAAACAGATGAGAAATCGTATTCCCCGACCCGTATTCTGATTTGTGACGTCAGGAGACTGAAATAAAATTATGACTGATATCATTGAATAATTAAAATAATATAATCTAATTGTAGCCTGTTTTAAGTCGAAATTTCTGATTTCTGCGATACAAGCCTTGAGCTTACTGCAGGGATTGTTAACATATTTTATCTATAATCATTGATGTAAAGTGTAAATAAATAAACAAATTAAATAATTATAATCATAATCCAAAACATTTACACAGCGGTATCTAGTCCCAAGCTATGCCGATTTTGGGTTTTGGGTACTAGACAACTGATGAAAATACGTAAATATCTATTTTTTGTAAACATATACGTATATACTCAGACAAATACAACATTATACTCTAAATACTCATGAATAGAAAATTTTGTACTGTGCGAGAAATCGAACCCGTGACCATTGGAGTTAATACAAAGTCTAAACCGCGAGCGACCTTGGTCCTTTAATATAATATAACTTTCTAGTTATATTAAAGGACAAAGATGCCCTTCTGGGCATCTAAAGAGAGCAGTAAATGTTGCCTATATATGAACATCACAGGGAACAGGGATGAATTAAAGAGAATTAAAGACATATTACGCCGTCCAAATAAGTGAGATAAGGAAGAAGTAGACGATGATGATACATGAAGACATCATCGGTAATCACACCGTCGTGAGAGGACCGTAGTAGAACTAGATACTCTACATGCGTTTATTTCTGAAGACTGCGTCATGCTTCCGAATTTTGTAATTTCACTGCCATATCTCACCATCAAAACAAAATAACAAGCAAGCTGTGACTGCAGGATCAGTTGTGATAGAGGTACCAATACAGAATAAAATATTGTTGGCATTGTAATAAAGACAAACATTCCTTGAATACCATAGTCTGTTAAGAAAAGGCGTTCCAAGATATAATAAATATTGTAGATAATCTATTTACTTGAATACCTTTAGTTGATTCTGGAAACGAACTGGATTCAGGATTAATGCTATAAATATCCACATTCACGACACAAATTTGAAAGCAACTCAATATGTAAAGTTTCATTGATTCAGCGAGGATTGATTTGAAAGTTTATTGAGTCTATGTAACGTAAATAGAGTGTAGCATAAATGAGTGAATTGATTTAGCTAACTGATGTGTAACTATAAGATATTACAGGCACAGTATATCTACAATATAGTAGGCTGATACATTTCCCTTGAGAAGAATAAATAAAAATAGTCTTACATATATTTTAGTCTTTGTTTTTAGATATTATTATTATTGTACATTGTAATAACACGCTTAGCTACTTTTAAATACATATCTAATTTTCCGCAAGCTCAAACAAGTCTTTGTATTTCTTTTTTATTGAAATATATTGATGTTAAAATTGCTACTATTTCTGCACAAAATCTTTAAAATTAATTTCACGACATTAGGTTCTATATTGTAAACTTCAACTATATGTATGTGTATCTGGTTAGAAATTTAACCAAGGTGCTTTTTGGTTACCTGTGATAAAAAAAATAATAATCTGCTGATGCTGTTGCATCTATTGGTAAATCCTATAAATGCAACAGCATCAACAGCTTATTCCTTTTACCTACTACATACTATACTAATAAAATACTACTGCTTTGGTTTAATTAGTAATTTATTATAAGTTGAATCTAAATATTTAACTTACTCGTCAACACAATGGCCTGCTGTAGCTATCCAGCCCTCGTTGATGATGGCGCCGCCACATCGATGGGTGGACGAGAACCCGAAGAATGAGGTCCGTCGCACCGACACCTGCCATGGCCATCGACCAAAGCTGGAATCCTTGCCTCCCATGATTCGCTGCTCCGGTCGTGGCCACATCGCGGTAACGCCACATTCTAGAAATCAAGAATTTAAAGAGTTGGTAATAATAATAACCCTGGCAAATCACGCAGCGTCATTTAGTCCCAAGCTAAGCAGAGCTTGTGTGATGGATACTTTGATATATTTATACATACATAATATACAAATTACAAACATTTACATCTCAAACTACACTCCTAATAAAAACATAAATATAAAATTCTTTTCTAACTCTGCTGAAGCTCTGCTAACTACTACATATGGAGTAACTAAATCTTCTCAATTAAAAAAAAATACAAACATTCATTCTCATGAACAGAAATGCTTACACCGTACAATCTAGCCCACGACTATTGGAAGAAAAGCCGTGTGCTAAACCGCCAGACTACAGCAGAGGCTTCTTTAGGAAAAACATTGACTTTTGAGTTTCAAATGGTAAACTAGTGTAATTTTATATTTGATTCATACTGACTTTACCAACTTTTTAAACCTCTACTCCCCCTTGTGATAAATAATGAAAGTTACGTCAATTTTTAGGTACACGAGCCTTAAAATTCTTCTTTGTGCATAAGCACAGTCCACACCACTGGACATGTCGAAGGGGATTGTTAGTAATGTGGATTAACTACCCCATTGGTAGCAATGTAGCGTCAAGATGTTCTCCGATACAACCGGGCGACCGGGGTGCGTCATTTTATAAACATCCAAAAGAAAACCACTGACACGTATTTCTCACAAGGAGCTGACGATCCTTCTACAACCCAGACCGGAACCAGAATAGAAATCTTAATACAATTTCTCAAAACCCTCATGCATTCTGAATTCAAACTCCTGATAATTATTGTGATAAATTCCAGGTAAATTTACCATGATGGGCTATCTGACCTGACCTTGTTCCATATTACCGTCCTCCACTGGTGCAGTACCAACGAAAACTATTAGAATATGCACAATTCCACTACCATGCATTAAAATAAGTCTTTGACAATAGAACCTTAAGTATATTTAATCTAAGTCTAATTTCGACTAATAGATGATTTAGATAAATTTATATATTCACTTACCCCCGCTACTAGTTGCTGCTGTTGTCTGTATAGGCGAACTCGTAGCATCATCTGTCTTATTTATCATATTAATAGATGGGTCCTTTGGTTTGATATAGTTTTTATGGGGTTTGGTCGTGGTTGTGGTGAATTTCTTGGTCGGTTTCGGTTTCCCGGCTGGCTTCTCCCAGGACGGTCGTGGTTTAGTTATGAACGAAGGTTCTGTTGTTGCTTGCCAGTGTATCGTGTTCAGGTTACTTGGTCTTGACATAAATTGTGCTGGAAAATATAATAATAATCATATTATTGGTTATTCTAATGCCGCCATTACAGAAGAATAGAACATGTTTAAACGTATTATAGAGATGGCAGCTAACTTTTATTCAAATTTTAAGTGTACTAACTAAAATAGCTTCAATCAACCATCGACACTTTCACATCACACATATCATACATCATTCACAACCTCAAACATTTTAATCAAACATGATCATCGTCACCAACATTCCCATACCTCTATCATCAACATTCTCATACCATCATCATATCCATACCATCGTCATCCAAACCACCAACGTCTTTATTTTGCTTTTCGTTTTGTTATTTTGTTTAATCTTTTGTTATTTGTTTTGTTCTTTTATTTCTGTTTTGTGTTGTTTTGATTGTCTTCGTTATTTTTTTGTTTTTGTTTGTTTTTGTTACTTCGTTAATTTTGTCTTATGTTCTCTTATATTAATAATTGTATATATTTCTAAAAATGTATATATCACAATAATTATATCCAAATTACACCTCTACTAAAATCATAACTTCTTAAATCAATATAAACTCTGCTGAAGCGAGCGTAAACCACAGGCGCAAACGCTAAAGCATGGAGTAAACCAAAGAGATTCTCATTAAAAAAAAAAACTAAAATAGCTTTATATTTTTTTATTAAATCAATTATTATTATTATTTATTTGTGGAGTATTAACATAAAACATTCTGTGAAAACTATATTGTCATGATATTACGTAATTTATTATTATTAAATAAATGTATACATTGATAATGTTGACGGGATCATTATAAATTTGGTACTAGTAGGTACCTAAGTATATTTTAAACTACCTACAGTTTAAATACGGTTACGATATGTACAGATATAAAAGTGAAAGCTTTTATTTTAAATGTTATTGTATCTATTTTATTTTTACATAAAATTAATATAATTTTTCTTTCCGAAATTGGGAATATTCTTCTCTTGTACATCAATTTATATGAATAGTAGTCTTACTTTAGACTAAAAGTCTGATTAATAAATAAAATATTCTCATGACTATAATGTCAACAACTAAACTCAAATGCTTTTATTTCACTTTTGATACTATTTAAAGTAATTGAGACAGAAAAAATGTAATCGCGACATCTATTAGATTTTATTAGTACTAAGTTAACATTAGTGACTGTTTAATACCAAAATCAGACAACGTCATCTCTTTGTGTAAAACTAAACTAGTAATATTGAAAATCCTTTACTAACCTGACGATATACTATTTTCAGCGTGTTGTTCAGAGACGGCCATAGGTCGCGCGCCCGGCATTAAGCTAAGACTAGACGAAATCTTGTTGTGGGGACTAGCTTCCATTTCGCTCGGTCTATTTACATTTTGGTACTTATTTACACTGTTATAAGATATTTTATTAACTATATCACTATTTTGTTCGCTACTTGTATCTAAATTGCCTAATGACGGTAAGTGGATTTCTGGCGGCCGGTAGCTGTAGGATGTGGGCGCGCCATCTATTGGCTTGGTCATGAACGACGGCCGTTGTGTTTGCCAGTTCGGCCGCGCTGTGCTTTGTGTTGACGTCTCAGGAGGCTGAGATGATGTACTATGCACACCACTAGATGGCGCATACGACTTCTCTGTAACTATGACCGAACTGGATGTTTCTGAAAAAAAATAGAAGAAATTATTTACTCAAAAATAACATTACACAAACGAAGCCTCTTTACGAATTTTAAAAAACAAAAGTAAACAAATAGTAATACAGCCATGTCTCTTATTATGCTGGATGGATATTACCTATCTACTAATTCAATTACCTCATCCATTATACATTTTAATATAACAATAACCCACGGAGACAATACTGATGGACAATTTACAAATCTTATTCAATGTTCGTAACTTGACCCTATAGTCCAGCCTTCTGGTTATCGCATTAATTTTGATGAATTCAACATAGTAGGCTGACTTGAATTTGAAACGATAATAATCGTAAATGTCGTTTCTTGCTTCACGGGTGTGCCGCGGCGTAGATTTCATCGGGAATCATTAAGCGGGATCCCTATCTCATCATCAACAAAAAACCCTTCGTCACCATAGTAAGATGAACTAGTGACCTTATTTGTAGCAATATACCTTGATATCGATGTTTTATATACCTAGTTGTTGATTTCTCGACCTTTTTTTAATATGATGGGAATGGCAATCAACCTGAATACCCATGTGATTCTATGGTATCCCTTATATGTTATTCCTAAAGACCTGTTATGCCTCCGTACTTAGTAATTTCTCTGCTATATAATAATAATCATAATAATAATCATCTCAGGACATGTATATACATACATATTGTACATAGAAAACACCCAGACCGATACAAACAATTATACTCATGAATACAAATGTTTGTGCCGTACGAGGAATCGAACCAGCGACCATCGGTCGTAAGCGGTGTGCTTGACCGCTAGACCACCGAGGTCGTCATTTTTCACCATATTTCACCATTCAACCGAAATACGACGTAATTTTGTAGGCATGCTGCTGCTGAACTAGGTAAAATACACCCCCTAACGGGTCTAGGTAGCGAACTTTGAAAAAGAGCGATCGCAATAGATCTATGCTAGTCACAGTGCTACAAGTCTTAGTAATAGCTCAAACACCCTGAATTAAAACATTTCATAAAAATCGCTAAAGGTGTTTCAGAGGCGTTTGGTAACAAACACGGCAACACGAGCATTTTATATATTAGATAAATATATGTCTCATGCCAATTGGATTTTTCTACTACTAGCCTGCAAAGTTATAATTGGTAACCTAACATTACAGAAATGTAATGGTCGAGTACCGGAACAGCGTCCTCTGCTTTATCCGGCGCATTTTCCCAAGCAGAAGAGGGACGCCACTACACATCCGTTATTAACGTAGTCCATTCATGCATAAACGAAATATCTGCTTTGGAAAGTATACACTCTATCCAGACTTTCCTGAGGAGATAAAACCATCGGTCTAAAGAATATTCTTCAATTCTTGTCCCTGTAACTTTGAAAAAGGGCGAGCACAATAGATCTACGCAGGTCATGGTGTTATAGGTCTTAGCACCTAACAATAGCCCAAAACCTCCAATAATGGGGGGAAAAGGGATTGTTAGTAATGTGGACTCTCGACCCCATTGCTAGCAATGTACCATGTCAGGTTGACCTCCACGCGGTTCTCCCTGGAAACCATCGTGATAAATTCCAGATGAATTTATCACGATGGGCTAACTTAGCTGACCTCATTCTCATCTTATCATCTTCCACTGACGCCCCGCCAGCGTAAACCGTTAGCGCAGGCGGGTGCACCATTTCATGATAATAGACAAAACAAAAACCTCCGATAATAATACCCGGCGCTAGTCCGATAGTAATATAATTATTTTTCATCTTCCTATTATAGACAACTGGAGACTAATATCTCAAAAATCCTCTCATGATATAGGTACATGAACCAACCTTCGACACTGCCAGCTGGGTCCGGTAGTCGGCAGCACGAGCCGAACATAAAGCCGTCTACACACACGCCGGCGTGCGTGCCTCCCACCCTGTTGCACTCCTGCACCCACATGCACGCACCCTTCGCGCCGCCCGCCACGCAAGACTTGCGGGACATCTGATAACCTGAAATAGAGTATAGTTGTGAATAAAGGGCCTCCACGGTGTAAGGTGGTTAATAGAAGTTAGCACACTGCGTCACTTAAGTAGCCGGTTCACTTCCCACACAAAACAAATTAAATCAAAATATCTTTATTTATGTAGATAGGTAAGCTAATACTGGCTTTTATGATACGTCAAAGTATGACAGGTTAGAGTAGTTTACAGTTAAGAAAAACTGACAAGGTTACAAAAATATAGAATCATTTATTAATTCAATTAGGGAGAATATAGTGACCACCAGCATATGGCATGTCTATTAACTATCGACGTGGAAGTGATGACATATTTGAATACAGGGCACGAGCCTACCGCAGTCTCTTGGAATAATTTGGTTTATTATCGGTATTTCCATTACCCGAGTTTCCATATTTTATTCGGTAAATTAGAATTATTATGAATCCAAAACAGGGTGCGAAGATACCGCCGTTTCTCGAATTTAGATTGTTGCTGTATCCACCAGCGAAGAGTCACTCAGAAATATAAATTGATACATTTTTTATGATGTCAGCAACATTTAAACTCATGTCCTTTTGGCCTAAGTTCGGGTATTAAACCACTGGCCCATAACGCTCTTAATGGTAATAAATGTTAGATTAATAATATAATAAACTAATCTTTTCCAATATTACGTATAAAAGAAAAGAAGTTCTATTACTCATCTCACACGACTATTCAACCACGAAATTGAGCAAATTTCTCCAACAATATGCACATGGTCTTACTCAGATGGATAGACTTATTTATGAGAATAATGACACCTATACATTCCTATTACAGAGATTGATTGTACGGATTTCAGAGCGTTGTATAGCGTTGGATAATAGACGACTCTCGTTACTATTAACTTACTGCCCGATGTGAGCACATCGGATTCGAGAATTGGTCCAGATGCTTTCTATGCAACTAAATTTATTCTTCCACACTAATATTATACTATAAATTCGAAAATATAGATCTCTTATGCTCTAAAGATTAAATGTCCAAAAGTATCCTAATTAAATTCTATAGGTTTTTTAAAGGATGATAATGGAATGGTTCTACAGCCTGCGCGGAGTACCAGTGGAGGATGATAAGATAAAAATGACGTCAGGTCAGTCAGCTCATCGTGACAATTTCACCATGAATTTATCATGATGGTTTCCAGGATACGCGTGGAGGTCAACTTGACATGGTACATTGCTAGTGATGGGGTCATCAATCCATATTACAAACAAAGCCCATCCCACTCCCCAGAACCGAGATTCGAACCCCTAGCGGTGTCTCAGACCAAATTCGTATCCGTCAGACAGGAGTTGGCCTTCAGCCACTCCGTAAATCCTTCCGAGGATTTGGAGTATCATCTGTATTAGAATAGTTCCACAAAAACATTACCTTTAATATAAATAGTTAGGCACAGTTCATATAGATATTATTTACCTAATAGAAAATTAATATTTACTGTGACATCAGCATAGAATGGACGTCTTTTCAGCTACTGTTCTGTAATGTACAGCCTGTATAAATGGAAATGTTATTACTATAATCATATTTGCATTTTATTAACCTCAATAAAGTGATATGATGAACAGAATAGATATGTTTTGAACGAGAATTTTCGAAAAGAGGAATCTCATGAATTATTTATTGTATGTCTACATATAGGCTACCTATGTATTAATATTTCTATAGTAGTATCTGTGTAGCGGATTTCCTTGACTTGATTTGTTTTAAAATATAATTGAATGAATATAAAATAACCATGCTTCATTCGTTTTAACTTTATTGAATAATGTTACTAGTTAGTCTTGTCTTTTAATCTACGATGATGACAATCAAGCATACGGCTCATATGATGGTAAACGGTTACCATAAACTATGGATGCCTGAAATTCCAAGGGGAGTCACGTGCGAGTTGCCAACCCTTAAGGAACCTTAATATATCCTTTTTGAAAAACCCCATGCTGTAGTTTGTAGAAAAACGTCGGCAGGTAGCTCATTCCACAATCTAAGTGTACTCGGGAGGAAGCCCGTCTGAAACCGTACTATCCTAGAGCACATACTAGGTTCCAACTTGCCGGGATAAATTAATTTTGAATTCTTATCAAGTTTTATGTTGGTTTGTGAAAACTAAGCTCACAAATGTATGAACGTATCAGCATTTATTAAACTTACTATATTTTCGTCTTTCGCTTTTTTTTTAAGAAAATTAAGTATTTCTTACTTTATTCGCAGCACCGTACTCACTAATAGTAATAATAATAAGACTTCCGGATGAAAATAAGGATGAAGTCGAAACAGCCATGGCGATGTACAAAAAATTGTAAGTGCATTAATATCCACCATATAATTATAAAAATATAGACGCATGCGAAGTTGGGATCTCAGCTAGTTTATAATAATAAAAATGGATTCTTTCAACTTAAGAACGCGTAAAATAAATAATTGTAAAATTTTGTAAATTGTACGTAAGGATCATCTTCATGTCAGCCATGCTATCTTTGGGATATATAAAGCACATCATAATCGGTACATTGGTTTAAGAGATACGATAACATAGATAGATACACGGGTACGTCAACTTTATAACTTCACAAGACATGAACGATTTAATTTATATATAGATGTAGTTAAACATTAAATTCCATCGTATCTCTCAACAACTAGAATTACTCGTCCGGTTTTAATAATATCTACTACTAGGTGAAATCAAGTAAATATTATATTTCCTTGATTTCCCTACGTCGGTCCATTATAGTGTGTGTATATAGCAGAATAAGTATACAGTAAACGAACTGACACCATTTTCTACATATACGTAATTGAGAAAATTTATTTGCACAATAATAATAAAAATATAACATACACAACTTTCTCATAATTATAATTATTGAATATCTTGAAAACTATTTGAAGATAAATTAAAATAACTAATGTAATAAAATGTAACTAACTATATTTGATACCACAAAACAAACAGAGCTAGGTCACTTAGGTACATTATTATAACTCAAAATACTGTATCGATTGTGACGAAATTTCTATGCCACCAATCTGCCGACTAATCTTTCAAAATCTAAGTAATTACTTAAAATTAAAATTTTAAGTAAATGCTGACACATAAATACTCTAAAGAGTAAAAAATGACCCAGATATTTATAAATTCACGTCAGCTTTCAAATAAAAAAACATATAAGAATTAGTCCATTCGTTTAGGAGCTACAATGCCACGAATAAATACACAGACAACTCAGATTTATAGCACCCTTCTATTTGTAGCGGGATTAAAAAAAAGGGGTTCGCAAATAAGTTTTTATTCATAAATTTATATTATCATACTAATTTATTTTGCAGCCGGCTAGATTCGTTATAACATCCTTAGTTTCATAAGTGAAGATAAAATAAAATACGAGTCGTTGATCCTATTAAATATATACTATATATACTAATAATAGTTTACATTTTACAGTGTTCCCTGGACCCTAAACTAAGTAGGAACCTGTATTTTAAGTACTAGATTTATATTATAATATTTTAGTACGACTTCCCACTAGCTTACGGGATACGTAATTCCATTTCTCGCACTCTCTTATACTTCAGAATAAACTCAAACAGCACTAATTCATGATAAAGTCACAAATAAAATGAGTACCATAATAAATATTCAAAATCCCCATCAGATTTCGAAGCGACATGGCATTATCGAATAACAACGAAACAGCGCACAGCGAAGGTATTACCCACTGGAAGGAATAATACACAGTTGTGGACTTCATAATTTTAGGGCAGTAAAATAACTAGGCGTTAAAATTAGTCTAAAAATTGTAATAATTAGTATAGTATAATTAATTTCGCAGCTTGTAGGGATCGGTCTACTCTTATCACTACTACTATTTAACCTTTTTGTGTATTTAATATTTTGACTTAGTACTAACTGGCAGTTTGTATTCACACGTTTGTATTATACAATATCATTTGACAAAGATGTTTTTTCAATTCAAACTCAAAACTTATTTACTAATGTTGGACATTTAAATCTTTTATGGCAGTGAAGTTATTTATGTTAATATTTCTCTCTACCGTCTAATCCTGTTTATAAATATAATTAAGAAAATCTGTCAAGAAATTCGATTGATCAATATTTTTAAAACCCTGACATTTTTTCTTGATGAATCAATCATCTTGGCTAGAACCCACGTCTTTCTCCGTTCCAAAGACATATCTGTATGCCAAATTACACAACGATCACTTGAGCGGTCAAGGTGACATGCAAACAAACAAACTTTCGCATTTATAATATTCGTGAAAGTTTGTAATGAAAGAAAAACATATTTGAACAGAACGCCGTTTGCTTATGGCATATAAACTAATCTAATGTCTAATTGTTATCTAAACACTTGAATATGTTTGAATGTTTGTCACTGACTCACGTTTAATCGGCTAGATGGATTTTAATGAAATTCTGTGCACATACAGATCATATACTAGAACATGTAGCATACTTTTTATAGAGTAAGATTTAGCGTGAGTATTTAAATTTATCAATTATTTAAATTTTACTCTAGGACGATATTTCCGTGTCCAACAGTGGGACTACAATGACTTGTTATAAAGGTATTAAAGATGATAATAACAATAACAATAATAATATGATGATGAACATGATGATGATATACAAAATGTCACTAGTTTCATGTGAAATCATAAAAGTTTAATCTTATATTGTTAGATTATTATTTTTACTAAACGGTATTATATATCTACTAGTAGTTATTTGTTAAATAGTATAACTGCTAGTAATTAAAAGAACGTATTAATGAAAGCTAATATAGTACTTTATATATTACATTTGCTTTCAAAAATAGGTATTTTTATATTAATACTGGCTGCTCGCCCTAGCTTTTCCCGCGTGTACATGTATTATACATATAAACCTTCCTCTAAAATCACTCTATCTATTGTATTAAAAAGAACCACTTCAAAATCCT